GCGCACCACGTTTAAGGTTATTTTTTGCTTTTTGAAAACGTGGTTTTTTAGATTAATTTTTTAATCTACTAAATTTTTTTGTGCTTTTTAGTCTTACTTGAAAAACGTGGTTTTTTAGATTAACTTTTTAATCTACTATAATTATTTTTGTTGTTGTTTTAAATTCTTGTGAAGGGTTGAGGAAATATTTGAAGGAGAAATATTTCAGTAATTAAAAAAAGTATTTAAATTTTGATTTATTTAATTTATAATTTTTGAGTCTCATAAAAAATTTATGGTGACGTTTTATTTAACCTGAATGAATATATTTGAAAGAATGAAGAACAGTTGTGGAATTTTTTGAACCTGTCATGGCTGAATCCTGGTGGATTTTTGTTTTCTTTCTTATTTGCCATTTATTTATTTTTTTTAATAATCCAATGAGAGCAAATGAGTGGAATATTTGCATCCATAAATGATGGGAAAATTCGTAAAAAGAGCAATGTATAAAATATTTCAAAACTTTGAATGAAAGTGAATGTCATCTCACTTGATATATTTTACCTTATTTTGTAATGCTTTCATATATTTCAAGAAATTTTCACTTGTCATATTTTATTGTCCATCTGTTTATATGTAATGAAAAATGAATTGATTTACTTTTTGGAATCAGTGCATTTTTTTGTGCTTGTGCGCCTAAAATTAAAATTAAATTGGAATCATGAGAAAGTTGATTGAATTTGTGAATGAAGCATTTTAACAAGAACATGTTTTGAATGTGGAATAAAATTTTCTGTGCTGTTCATGAGATGTGATTTTCTTTTTGTGTGCAAAAAATGAATACATCCTTTTTTGCTCCGCTGTTCATAGAATAGCAGTACAGTACAGTAAAAGAAATCCTTTATATGCATGAAATAAATTTAAAACAGTTTATTTTTTATTTATTTTATTTTTTGCAGCTGCTTTGAACGTGAGGCTGTTGGTTGAAGCTTTGACTGAGTGTGTTGTTCGATCGAAACAACTCCTGGACTTGGACCTGGTTCGAGTGGATCTTGGACAAGCTTCTTTGTTGCGATCCATCCTTTCTGTGAGTTGATCTTTCAACGCTGAAAATAAATATTTTTTCTTTAATTTAACTATAAAACAATTTAATTGATAATGTATGGGAAAAAACTTGAAAAATTAAAAAAAAAAATTTCTTGGATTTATGCGATCAATCTTTTCTGTGAGTTGATCTTCCAATGCTGAATATGAAATGTAAAAAAGAAGATTTTTTATTTAATTTATGGCTATAAAAATTTTCATTAAAAATGCATGAAAAAAACTTGAAAATTAAAAAACAATTATTCTTATTCAATTGGAATTTTTTATTTGTTTTGTGTCTTTTAAAACTTTTCTCTTAGTTGATGAAGTTTGTTGAGAGAGAAAAAAAACATTCTGAAAATGTCGACGTTTCTTTTTGTGTTTTTGATTGCAATAAGGGTGTTGCGAGGAGTTCGTCGTTGAAGCATTTGGCGTTTGAGAATTGCATGCTGGATGACGAGGCCGTGGAGAAAATTTGCGAGGCCCTGAAGAACCATGTCAGTCTGAGCCACATTTGCCTTTCAGGAAGAAAAATTACCAGGGCCAATCCGATCGTTGGATTGATACTAGTGAGTGCTGGTGTTGAGTTTTATTTCTTTTTTCCTAGTTTTGGGGTTTTATTTATTTATTTTTTTCAATTTTTATATAGTGGGTTTCTTCATTGTACAAGGGTTGGTTCATGAGTTTTGAGATTTTTTTGAAATGGATGCCATAGAGTTTCAACATTTTTTGGATTTTTTTATTCATTTTTTCACTTGCATAGCCTCCATAATTTGGCAACACTTCACTGCTGTTGAACTTAATCTCTGCCGTTTTCACTGTATTTTTTGTGCGATCCAGGGATCAAAACAGTGCCAAAAATTGAGTAAAGAGCACTGAAGAGTTGCCAAATGATGGGCAAGCACTCACTCACTCTTCATTGCTGTTGACTCAATTTTAAGTAATAAAAAAATTGAGTCAACAGCACTGAAGAGTGAGTGAGTGCTTGCCCATCATTTGGCAACTCTTCAGTGTTCTTTACTCAATTTAATAGCTGCCAAATGAAGGGTATACACCCACTTACTTGACTTGACTTGACTTGACTACTTGTGTTGACTCAATTTTTGGCACTGTTTTGATTCTTGGATTTATTGGATTTTGATCCTTAAATTTATTGTTTTGATCCTTGGAGTTGCCAATTGATAGGCAAGCACTCACTCCTCAGTGCCGGTGACTCAATGTTTGGCACTGTTTTGATCCTTGGATTTATTGCATGACAAATGCATTGAGATTGGGAGAGATTATGTTGAACAGCAGTGAAGTGTTGCCAAATGATGGGTCTATATTGGAGTGAAACCATTGTTTTTTATTTAATTTTGAAACTCCATTTGATCTACAGTATTTCAAAAAATCTCAAAACTTATGATCCAACCCTAGCATTAGATAAAAGTAAGAGAAAAAAATGTAAGGTTGGAACAGTGATAAAAATAAATTATAGGATGGATCATGTCATTATTATATATATATGGATCATTATTATATATACTGTATATATACTGTATAATAATTGGAAAAAGTCATGATCCATCCTATGATTTATTTTCATCACTGTTCCAACCTTACATTTTTTTCTCTTATATATATGTACAGTACTGTATATATATTTTTTTTTCTTTTAATTTCCAGCATCAACAAGCTGTGAGGACGAATGCAGCAGAAAGACACCAGTTCACCAAGCGTCTTCCAAGATTCAGCGGCATCAAGAGATTATCATTCGTCGACTGTCCCAATCTCGGCTCGGCGTCGTTTCGTTGCATCGCCGAGAGTTTGCACGACAGCGACGCAGTCAAGGCCCTGGACATGGTCAATTGCGGGATCGACAAGAGGGGTGTGAGTGCCCTGGAGGCCCTAGTGTCGCTCAACACGAGTCTGGTACTTGTGGACCTGCGCGGGAACGAAGTACTGGCCTGTGCCGGGGACTTGTTGCGACAGAAGCTGTTGATTTTGTCGCAGGGCACGCAAAAGGTGCTAGTGATATGTCGTTGATTGTATTGGATTGTTGGGATTTTTATGGCATTCGAGGGGATTTTTTGTTGTTGTTGAAGATTCTCGCGAATTCTTAAAAAAAAAAAAACATGAAGTGGAATTCTTCTTTCAACAGTAAGACAATTTTTTAAGGAATAACGAGAAACTCTTTGATTTATTCCCCTGTAAATTGATTTTCTTCGAAAATTTGTTAATCTTTTCATCCATTGGGAGAACAAATGAAATGTCAAGGCTTGGAGATTCATGGCATCAAGGGAAATTTCTTGATAGTCTCGCGATTTTCCCGGAAAATAATTTTACAGGAATGTTTTCAACAGCCTGTAAGATTTTAAGGAAGAATAAGAATTTTTTGATCGTTCTCCGTTGTAATAAATGTTGTAATTTATTTATATCGATTCAAATGCATAATTTTCGGGGATTTTGATCAGTGGAGAAAATAGACAGAAATTTATAATATTTAATTCGATATAATATTATAATATTTTATTATTCTAATATTTGATGTATTACATCTATCTGATATAATATATCTAATATCTTATAAATATCTAATATATCTAATATCTTATAGATATCTAATGTATCTAATATCTTATAGATATACTGTATAATATATATCTTATAAATATTTATCTATCTTATATATCTAATATTTTATTTTCTAATATTTAATTGCTAATATTTAATAAGCTCACCTAGACTTAGATTTGAAGAAATCGGCTGATTTCTTGGATTTGATTTAGAAATGATTCATTCAAATGTGGGAATAAAAGATATAATTCATACAATTTGATGATTCCGCCTAAATATTTAATTTTTTGTAACGACTCTGAAATATGCGTTATGGCGATTTTTTTCGACGATCATATTTAAATTATATGGTGTTCTTTTGGGAGCTTTGGAGAAGTTTCTAAATCATCCCTAAATTTTCTTTGTAAAATAATTTCATTTGTGTTGAATTGCAGTATCCAGTGTTGCCAACGTCGCATGCTTGGGACGCCGCTGTGAGATCGCCAACGAAATCCCCTCATCGTCCATCTGAGACAACTGTCAAACCTCGCCCTTCTGTGCCTCAACCGCCGGAAGAAGTAGCAGAAAAAATCTACGCCAGAAAATCAAAGTATTTTGTCCTGCGAATTTTTTTTAATTTTAATCTTGCATTGGTAAACTTTGGCCTTGCTTTGTGGTACAGTACTTCTGTTAGGTGTCACCTGTTGAATGTATGGATCTAGAGTAGGGCCCATGAAGCGACATCTACTGGAGGGGGATAGTTC